CTCTGCCGCTTGCCAGCTACGCCTCGGCCAGCTCAGGGGGCGGAACCACGCATGCGCAGCGCTCCCGGGCAGGGAAAGTCCTCGACTTACGACCGGTTGGGTAGTCCTCGACTTACAACCGGTTTAGTTCTCGACTTACGATCGGTTTAGTCCTTGACTTACGACCGGTTTAGTCCTTGACTTACAACCGGTTGGGGGTCACGGCATTAAAAAGGTTGAGAACCACTGTTCTAGGGATCTAATGATGTTTTGGGGGCATTCCCAGCTCTGTACCATAAATGAGCACAGCCTCTGGGTCTTGTTCTGCATTTCACTTAATCCTGAACTGCATAAAAAGAATAGTATCCCATTAGGCAACATTAGCCCAGTAACTGTAGCAATACATTTTGGCAAAATTAATACAAATACAATTCGATTGTGTAAAATTGCAGACTCTGGGATGGTCATATCCCCCATATATTTAAATAGAAGCTACTCAGAAATTCTGACTTTTTCTTCCAATTCAGCATATAAATAGCCAGAGGCTGTCGTAAGTTCGAACAATAGAGTTGACCAATATGTGTTCTAAGAACATCTTTAAAACCTATCAACTTCAATGCTAAAATGTCAGGAAATCCCAGCAGGGCATATACAGCACAGCCTCTCTCATATAAAGCCAGCTCAGGCCCTTTGGGTCTGCAATGGAAACTTACCTTTTCCAAATACGATGAACACATAAGCCCAAGGGCTGAATGCAGGATTGCTGAGATCAGGGCTATTCTGGGGTAGACAAGTTATGTCCTGCTGATAGGAAAGGATTAATGAGCTGGTCGGCTCATTCGTTGCAATTAGAAACAACACTCAAACTATTCTGGGGCTATTTTGATGGCAAGAAGTTCAACAACAGCTTATCAGAACCCAGCTACTTGTAAGGCTTCGTGTAAAATGAGGGATGATGGTAAATATAGGATGATAAAACCAGGGACAAGCACTAAAGTGATGGTTCCTCTTTTGGAAGGCAAATGGGCTATGTAATAACAGGCATACAGGCATTTTCAAGGAGGAGAGATTTAGGGAGCAGGCCCAGCAGGAATTGGGGCTGGGGGGAGCTTGCATTATTATTATACTGAGCTCAGGTTGCAGCTGTTATTTTGACTGCTACAGGGAACAAGAAGATCTAAACTAGGAAGTGCTGCACCAAGAACTTCAAAAAATGGAGAAGGAAGGGAATGCCAAGGAAAGGGAAGTACCTTGTTTTTTTAGAAGAAAGTTATGATTGAAGGTGCTTATTCTTCATGCTTGCATGTTTTTGTTAAGAAAGAGCCTTACCAAAATAACCAAACTTGTCCAATACCTTTTCCAATTCATGGCCATCAATCAGATGTTTCAAGAAAACAGCAGTCAGGTTAGGGAATGCTAAACTTGAATGCATTGTTTTCATTGCAGAAAACAATGATACAAATACATTCCACTTTACTGTTTAACGCTTACCATTGAGGATTAAGACGAGTGAATGAAAATATGGTAAAACAAATATAATGAAACTGATGAAGTTCTACCAGTAAAGATTGAGGAGATCTCCAAATATTCCAAGAGTTTTATTTTTAATTCCTATTGCTAAGCCACCCATCTCTTTCATTTTATCACCCCTGCAAAGATTTCATAAAATCTCTTGTTGACAATGCCAAACTTTCATGAGTTAGAAAAAAATCTTATCAGATGATTTCAGCCATTTTAATACATATAAAATGGAAGCCATAGCATCTGGATGAAGGAGCGCCAGTTACAAATACTTGGGATGATGCTTTAGAGATATTCTCCTTATGACAATTTTCCAGGTATACCGACTCTCCTGTTTTTCTTTAAATTATTCCTATCAACAGCTGTCCTGGAGTTGATTGTAAGGAGTAATAAAGGTGGGTAATAACTCACTTCAAAACTTTGGTCTTCCTGAATAGTTTCGGGTAGATGTTGAATAGCATGCAGAATAAGAGGAAGCTTCAGCAATGCCATAGGTTGAACAGCAGTTCCCTAACACCACTTTCAGAACATGGCCTGACAAGAAGTACTGGAACTGCTGTTTCTTCTAGGGTTTTGTTTATCAGGCATCCAGAAGTATGTTGTAGTCAGTTTTCATCCCATTTGACAATGTTGGAAATTAAAAACAAACATGTGTGAAGTCACAGGTTTCCTATTTCTGACATTGAGAAAGTAAATGAATTTAAAAATTATGTCTACCAGTCTTTATAGGATCACCTTTGGCTAAAATTTATCCATAAACCAAGAAGAGGGTTAATCAAGGAGAGTTCCTAAAATTTAAATAGTGTATGCAAATTCACTTACCCTTTATGTTTCATAAAGCAGCTATCTTCATGAAAATCAGGACTTGGTCATTCTTGTATTTTATTACAGAGGACATTCCCCTTTGAAAGGAGGAGGAAATTGGGAGAGAAAAAACTACCACTATTCAGAAAAAGGCAAAATATATAATCAATTCTTGTAGAAAAATATTTTAATAAAATGTACCAAATATTGAGAAAATATATGTTTAATAACAATTCTGTTTGACAAAAATACAGTTACATACATACATCTGTCTCTATATATAACTAATCTTAATAAAAGGCACGACTTACCATCAGGTATTCTGTACACTCCATAGAAATGAATGAAAGGGGCACAAGAAAAAACACATTTGAATGGCACTTACAGAGTACTTTATTCCACTTTTATTCTGCCAAAGCTTTCCATCAACCAATAGCAGGATTATGCTGTAAAATGGGAGCCCTCATTTACGAAAAACTAGCACTGCTAATGAAGTCAGTAGTAAAACAGAATTTACAATGTCTGATTTCACAACTGACATGACCTTGACAAAAAATAAACATAGATATTATTCCAAAGTGAAATGGACTAGAAGCCGAAAGGATTTCTCCTGAGAAGATTCAAATAGTTACTATTCCAAACACGGGTATTCAATTTGTAGGTAATAAAATAAAGGACAAACAAAGATTTAGATGATTTCCTGAGAATGAATCATTAAGTCCATGAGAGATGCCTCCATTTTATTTCTGCCTTTACAGTTCCCCATTTAGGAATCACAACTGAATTGCGCTCTTTTTGACATTTAAATAGATCTTATGATGCAAAATGAAAGTCTGCCCCAGAACGTCATATGCTGCCACTTCACTACTTAATTAAGAAAAATGACATGAAGTTTCTGCAAATTTTCAACTTTTTATCTGCTTTGTGATTCTCCCATCTCTTGTGCAGCCCCCTAGGAATCAGTGCACTCATTCTATTGGTGTGAGAGTTATTCACTTTTGTGAATTAAAAGCTGGCAAAAAAAGACCCCTAGAAACAAGGACATCTACACCTATGCATTCTCTGAAACAACTGTTTTTTTCTCCATTATTATTTTTCTTTTCCCTGCTTTGCACTTTCACTTCAGAAAAATAAAGTCAATTCCCTGAGAAATACTTAAGTTGAAAACGTGCAAAATACCTTTTCAATGGAAAAATGAAAAGAGAAGAAATGAGAGAACAAAGTGCACTTCAGGAGCCTGATCCCATCTTCAGACTGATGAGAGCCCTTGATGAAAACCCCATCTAAAGGTCCTATAGCTGCCATTGGCTTTTGATATTTGTTCTGTATGTATCGGGCCACACATGTGCATTATTGTGAATTATTGTGTGTCAATGGCAAGCTGGCTCAACACCCCTTCTGGTGTGTTGATGCTGCAGGCACACTGACCAGTTGTCAGATGTCATCTTGATCAAACCAAGAATGTACAGGCCTTCCCTCCTGGATTCATTCGTTCTCTTTTGTGAATACATCTGGGGATATCTCAGATCAATCCATAAATATGGCATTCAAGTGTTGAAAAGAGAAGACAGTACAGAGGCAGAAGTCTCTATTTTAGTTCAATACACCACATTTAAATTAGAAAAGACTGCTGTGCCTGAACAAGGCTGCTATAAGTGAGAGAGGAGCCATCTGATACATCATGGATAAGTTATCTGGGCAAAATACATGCAGTCAATTCCAGGTCCGCATGCTCTTTCATACTTGTTACAAGTTGAAAGCTAAACTAGCTAAGTTATTTTATTAAGGAAATAATAAAAAGGACACACACACACTCACAATTCTAAAACACTTCATTTTATAATCAATATATTTCTTTACATAAACAGAAACACGCCAGTATTTTGTGCGAAAAAATATTTTAAATAAACTTTGCTTATTCTTAATCTTTGTACATTCTGATATACATATGTAACAAGGTTTATGGCACCATTACTAGAACCAGAAAAGGGGGAGGGGGAATAATTGCTTTTGTTGTGTTCCTGCTTCTATATCAAGTCAGTAATCTTTGCACTATTTCTTAAAAAAAATAGTATTATTACTGGGTAGCCCGCAATAATTGGTTTGAATGCTCAAAATAAAAATGCTTTTCATTCCCAAAAACTATTATTGCACAAGAAGCCAATAAAGGCATATGGCATTAAATGGTCAAGTCCCTTGGTGTTTAATGTCCTACCCCTCCTACCCACAACCCAAATAGAAAAATAGTACCAGAAGATGAAACATAAGAGGAAATAAAAAGGTGTTCTCTAGCCAGAAGGGTGAGACATGATTTGCAAACAATTTAAGCTGCTCTGATCACCTTTGCACCAGCAAGCATTTTCATTAGGTTTTGTTTAGTAAAGTTTTTGCAAACACAAGGCCTGTGGATCTAGTCTTTTTGCTATTATTTTGGCTGGTTGTGTCATTATTTTTTTTAAAAAAATAATATAGCTGTTCTCAGTCTATGAACCTGCACAGACTACTTAGTCATAATCTCTACAAGTAGCTGAACCATCCACTCCCTCAAAAAAACAAAAAACCTAAATAATATCCAGGGAGTTTCCCCCCCCCCCTCATAAACATCAATTTTAAAAAGCTGGTTTCTTTTTAAGCCTTTCTTCTTCATCCATTCCTTTGAGAATGGATTTGCAATGGCATTCTGCGCAAATTCTGTGATGACTTTAAAAAAAGAAGTTTTTTTAAAAAAATAAGCTTTCCCTAGTAAAGCTGAAAAGAAAAGAATCACCCATGCTTCCCAGTCTGTGGAAAGTTTTTTTTAAAAAAAGAAAAACTCTCTCCTTTGGTTCTTTTATGTCACACAACAGTCTCAACCCCAATCAGCTTTGGTGTAAGAATTCGTGGTGTGACTCCATTGTTCAGATCTTCTTCAAACTCCAATAACTGCCCCATGAAGTTAAGATTGGGAGAAATGATTGGTCTCTTGCCTTTGACAAACTTATAGGCATCTGTCATAGTCATCCTTGTGTGCTTCATAAGGTATGCAATGACAATGGTGGCGGAACGAGACACCCCAGCCTGGCAGTGGATAAGAAGACCCTTACCGCATTGGTGAGCTTCCTCTGAAAAGATCAGAAACAAAGGGAGACATTGACTTTAATAGAGAAAAGGTCATTGAAAGAGATCAAGACATAATTTCATAATTCAATTCACAGCTTAACATTTCACTGGCCTAGTTTAATACGGGGGGGGGGGGNGAGATATGAGCATATGATTTAATACACCTTTCCCAGCCTGGGGTCTTCTAGTTGTGTTATGATTGCAACTCTAAGAATTCCCAGCGAACATGAGAATTTCGCATTGGGAAGAAGGAGGAGAAGGAAGAGGAAGAAGAATTAGGCATTGTTCAATCCCATACCTGATTTGTTTTTGCTAATGTACAAATCAATACAGGGCCAAATACATTCAAAGTGCAGCTAGGAAGAACACTTAATATTTCAGCAACAAATGAGAAGTTAAAGAACCCCAGAAAGAATTTGACAGAACTCTTTTTCTTCACTTGTACAGAGAGAAGAACTGGAGAGCAGAAATGAAAGCCCCAAGTCCAAGGCTTTGCTCATGTTCAGTGAGCCTAATCAACACAGAAATTGTGTTTATATGAATCAGCACTGCTGCTTGTGAAGTATCCAAACAGTACAAAGTTCATAAACCTTTGAGAAATGTGCACATTGCTACTCTCTAAAGCTTTGTTGGAAAATTAGCCTAGATAGAAGAAACCATTTGCCTCTCTTCTCTCCAGCACTCCTTGTTTCAGAACATTTCTGTTATTACAACCTCCCATTAAAGTTCATTAGAGTCTTGCCCATAGTGAATGGCGGGCATATTTTAGATATTATATATACTGAAAACTCATGGATTGTTTGAGCTATTTTTCACAGGGCCGAATAGCCCTGTGCATTGTATCTTGACATAATTCAGCCAACATTTAAGAAAGGAATTGGGAACCTTCAGATTGGACATTTGTTGCAAAAACACACTTCTCAGTATATTATATCACTAGCTATGTTCTTTCATGATGCCAGAAACACTAGTGCAGCAAAGAAGCTAGAAGCTAAAAGCTCTCCACCTTTCTTTTATGATTTTGTCCTGTATTTCATGGTCTTCATATGAATAACATGCATAAAACTAGCCTGTAGAATATGCACAGGCCAGCAATGCAAAGCATTGGTAAAATGGTCACTGTCTGAAATGCTCAATGATGCAATTGCCACGCTTATGTTCAAAGTGGTGTGGAAAATTTATTTAACCATTAAAAGGACAAGGGCAAAATCTGAAACCATGACTTGTTTCTTTCCAATTTGTCACTGTAATTATTTTCTAATTCTAATTTTGGCTTCAGAAGCAAACTTGAAATTAAAAAGTATGTCTAGAAGAGTTTATGTAAAAAAGATGTAAAAAAAGATAAACAGTGAAGGTCACTTACCCTCATGCAGCATATGCATATTTTGACTACTGAAATAAGAATCTCTGCCTGCTGCTATCTCAGTGGTTTCATGTAGGTTAACATAAAGGAAGTATTTTGGTATTGTACACCATTTTTAAAAACAAGTTTTTTGAGATTGAATATACCCTCATGTCTTCCCAGGAAGTCATCATCTGTAAAGGAATATCTGCACCCTCTTTTGGCAGTGTTCAAAGCCATCTTAATTTCAAATGGGAAAAATTCTACAAAACTTTTTATTCTACCTCATAGAGTGCATTTCTAAGAGAGAAGCAATAGTAATATTTACAACTGGTATCTTTTCTTGGCAAGATTTTTCTCGCCACATATCTTGTAAAAGACACATAAATTCAATAAGGCAATTTTTTGCACTATTTCAAAGCTATCCTAAAGAAAGTTACCAACAAAACAAGAAAAAAAACCAGACCAGGATTGTCTCCAGCTTTGGCTAATTCAGAATATAGCACTGATAGGCTTTAGGAAATGTCATTGTTCTGCAAGTAGTAATTAATGTAATTAATAAATTACATCTGCCCATCTCATCAGATCTGGTAGAAGAGGCATGCTGCAAGTCCTGTCTTAGGGAACTACACTTGGTCCCAGAAGGCAGACCTTCTCTGCCATGGCACCTGCCTTCTGGAACAATTCCTACTATCACCACCAAGTGAGGTCATCTCCATCCTTACTTATTTTCTAGAAATCCCTTAAGACTTGGCTATGCCATCAGGCTCGGTGATCCCAGGAGACTGGTAAGATCTTGAGAATAGCTCCATTATGGCTGTTAACATCTAATATCTTGTAGGCCTTATGATTTTTTAAACTTTTTAAAAAAATAATGATTGGTTTTTATTTATTTATTTATTTATTATTAAATTTGCTGCTCATCTCACCTTGAGGTGACTCTTTTTACAATGTTATAGACAAAGACATGTATTTAAGAAAAATAAAACATTATAAAAACAAATTAACAACTATAAATAAAAGATGGAGAGGGAGGTCGGTAGGATGAGCAAGAGGGAGGTGGGATCTGTTATTTATCACCCGCATGTTTTTTATATTTATTCTTTTATATCCTTACTGTATGCCACCCAGAGTCATTTTGTTTTGTAAGATGGGCAGCCATATAAATTTGATATATAAATAAATAAATGCCAGGCAACTTATGGGGTTACAAAGCTAAAACCTGATAACCCCTTGCAAATTGGATAGTGCAATAAAAAATACAGAATCTTTAATGAACAATCACAAAACTGAGTTTGCTAGTTGGGAGTAGGGGGAAAGGGACAATTTTATTTTCTGGCTGTCAAAGTCTTTATCTGCCAGTTAAACAATAAATGGTCTGTTGGCATGTTCAGTTTCCTAGAGCTAGAAATTTGCTGCCTGTTTCCTTTTCCTCTGCGACAAACAGTTACAGTACATTTAAGTTGCTATGTCATAATGGTCCAGTGCAATGGTGCAAGATTTAGATGGTTAAATAAAACCAAAGTTCTTATTTTGCTATATGGGCTCTAGAAAAATGGATTTGGCCTGGAAGTGCAATAAATCTTCAGCTGATGCAAGACATATCCTGTTGCCAGCACAAAGGGAATAGACTAGTTTTATTTAGCAACAGGACTATTAAGCTGCTAAATAAGAATGTGCAACCTAGACCCACAAAGAGTCTTCTGAGGGAAAATACAAAAGAGGCATATTTACAGAAAGTTCAAATCTATGTTTATTTAGCATTCCCATCAATTCCATCTTTATGCCCCAAACTGAACCTCACAAAGAAGCAGTGAGGCAAGCGGAAGGATTTAATCAACTTTTCCCAATCTTGTGCCTGTGGTTGTATAAGGCTTCAACTGTCATAGTCTTCAGCTAGCACAGCCAATGATCATGCTAGCTGAAGGATGAGGAAGTTGATGACTAACACATCTGGCACCAGTTGGGAAACACTGTCTCAACTACCTAGGGGGAAAAAATGTAAGCTTCTATTTCCAGGGATAAAAAGGTGCAAGCATTTTAGCTCAATATTATTAGAAATTCTGAAAGTAGATCGTTGTACCTTTTAACATTCTGTCCATACCCCAAACCAAAATGCATCATGCCAGATACAATAAAAAGAAAAGCGTAACCTTGAACAACATACACATATATAATTCTTGGCATGTTTGCAAGCTTTGCTGCAACTCCTCCTTCATAATCATTCCCAGTCATGTTTAACTCTGTCCTATTTATTCACTTTTTCATCAGCTTCTTCCTACAAGCCTACTATGCAGGGTCATATATTTTGTGCAGATCAAATAGCATAAAGCTTTGTGTTCTGCAAAATTATCCTTCTTTCTTGAACTGTACTCTGGGGGAATGTCACCAGAAGACACCAGTAAGTAATAAAGGACAAGCAGTTCT